TTACCTGAAGTCATGAAAGAAAAGGTTACTTGATAGGTGTAACATAAAGTATAGCTAGAAAATCCATATTAAATAATTCACGACTTTACAGGAATCGAAGACCCCACTCCTCTCCTACACGGAAAAGACTAGCTTAAACACTAATGTTTTTGCAGCATTCCTCAAGATAGTTTAAAAAATTTTTAAATTCCTCAACTGATGAGTGGATAAACAAAATATGGTACACACATACAATGTAATGCTCTTCATTAAATAGGAGAAATGAAGTCTAGACACACGCTACAATATGGATGTAGCTTGAAGATATTATCTTAAATTAAGTAACCCAATCACAAAAGGACAAATTTTGTGTGATCTAATTTATGTAAAAATAGAAGGCAAATGTATAGAAACCAAAGTTTACTAGTAGTTACCAGGGGTAGGTGTTAGCGACAAATGGGGAAGTACAGTGATAGAAAAAAAATGATATTGATTAAATTTAGTGTTGCACAGCCAGATATCATAATTGATGTTGATAAATTTGCACATTTATTGAATGTTAAATTTGAAAAAATGTGTGATATACTTACAACAATCACACACACACGAACAGTGACAGGGCCAGCTTATAGAATTTTGCTCCTGGGTTTGAAGGTTTAGGATTATGGTTTCACCAGTTAATGAAGCCCATAATGTGCTTAGTGCTTCTGTTGTACTTCCTATCTTGTTGACTAGTTCCTCACATCTTAAAAACTTGCAAATGCCCATCCAAGACACAAAACTTTGTCTCTATTCACATGGACCATAGAAAGCAAGAGTCATAAACAGAAAGATAAGGAATATATGGTTAATTAACTCCATGAACAACTGCCTCCTTTACCAGAAGAACAGAATGGTGCCCAGTAGTCAGTACTGAATGTTGTGATTTTCAAAAATTCCATAGAATATCCTGATGGAAAAAATAAAATATAGAACATAATTTCAAATTCTCATAGACTCTTGACTTTCTTGATAAAGCCCTGAAAACTATTGGAAGGAGACAATCCTTAAATGTTAGAACAGAAACAATCCCCGGAAGAAATCTTAAAACTAAACAGTAGTTTAACTTAGCTAATAAAAAAAGGCCTGCTTTGAGCATTATGCTGCTTTAAGTTCATCCTTTATAGGATCAAATTAACAAGGACAGCTTGAAAACTTACATAGGAACCATAAGTAACCGTGAATTTATGTTATAGAGGAGTAACAACTGATAAAGGTGGGTGGCATGTAATCAAACCCAAGGCATGTAATCAAAGTCACTACGTTGCACATGTAAAAACTTTTGAATTGGTGTATGTTTTATGTTCTCAACAACAACAAATAAAACTTAAAAAAATCTGAACAAAATGGAACAATTGAATCTTCAAAAATTGAGAAAAATAATCTTCAATAAAGTTCTGTACCAGCAACCATATATTTTCAGAGAAAAGGCAGAAAGCTTTCTCTTTATATATTCTTTATAAAAAATAGCAAAGGATATAAAATAGTAAGAAGAAAAGTGATTGAGGAAGGAGTGTAATGCATGGAACAATTGTAAGTCAAGAAAAATACTAAGTGCACAGGCAAATATGAACATGAATTGACTGTGAAAATAATACTAGTAATTAGAGGGAGGTTAAAATATGAAATTGGATTAGTATTTATGTGTTTATATAGTATACAAAACACAACACTATACACTATGTACTGCAGATGTAGGTTTGTACAGCATATATATGTTTGCACAGCCATGTGTAATAGTATTAAAGCATGTAAGTTGTTGATTCACACATGTAAGGAGTTTGCTTACCTCTTGGAAGGAAGAGAAACAATTTTGAAAATTTCTTCATGATTTTTATTTTAAAGAAATAATACATTAAAACTACAATTAAAGTTATATCACCAATATTTGAGTAGTGCTTATAAACTAGGCATGCTAACTATATGTTATTTTCTATAATTTGCATTATGGTTTTAGCTTCACTTTATACTTGTCTGTGCATGTATGAAAGATATGTGAAAATACTAGGATTAAATAATCTAAAACAGTGGTTCTTGACCTCTCTGTTACAACCCCTTTGGGGGTCGAATGACCCTTTCAGAGGGGTTGCCGATTCATAACAGTAGCAAAATTACAGTTATGAAGTAGCAGCAAAGATAATCTTATGGTTGGGGGTCACCACAACATGAGGAACTGTATTAAAGGGTCGTGGCATTAGGAAAGTTGAAAACCACTGCCCTAGAATATTAACAATAGTCATTGTTGAGGGATCAAGCAACTTTTTAAAATGTAAGTTAGTTTCAAAAATCTGCATATATACTTCAAATAAATAATTTTAAAAAACATTTATAGGGCACAATAAAGGAACATTAGTCTAGTTATCATCAACTGGAGTTCTTCCTTAGATATGATTAACCTAACTCTTTGAGAAGTCGATTTGCTTGCATTTACATGGCTCATTTAGTGTAGTAATGTGGATTGTCTAGACCCAAAGCTCTTTTCTACTCTGTCATTTACCAAAATATATTAAATGCATATTTTAAATTCCAGCATATTTTAAACTTATCCCTACAATATCCCACCCCAGTGCATTTTGTGCAGACATCACCTTTTACTTCCATCTTTACTTCATCCTAAGTTAAAATAGATTTCCTATAGATGCAATCAAATAAGAAAAATTAGTACTTAAGTTGGATCAAACAACCATTAAAATGCTTGTAGGTGATTGGCTCTTACTGAGTCACTCTTGGTTTAATATCATTTGGTTTGAAATGTGTTGTAGAAATTAATCCAGTCACTCTGTAAAACTTGAATTTAAGATAATGTATTCAGAGGAAGAAAAAATAGTACACCTAGAAGTCAGAATACAGCAGTATCCATAAGTGAGAATTGATGCCTTTGAGTAAAATTTTCTCCCACAGATAGATGTAGTTCTTGAAATAATAAAATTATAATGCAATTACTTTGTTAATTATTGGTTGAGGTTACAAGTAGGATGAGTTAGGGATGGGAAATGGGCTTCTATTGGATAGTTGAATACAAATCGTTGCTATAATTGATTATAAGAACTAATTACATTATTTTCCACCATAGTTTTATTGCTTTCAAATGGGATCATAAAACATCACTGATGGAACATATATGCATTACACTCACTCTCAAGAGTGAATGTAAATTCTTCTTGGAACCCAGGTGTTATTTCCCAGAAACAGCTTGTTAATAAAATAGTTTAAGTGGTCTGGGAAAATTCAGATAGAAATAACTTCAAGATCCCTTCAAGAAAATCTCTTATTATATGTTTTCCATGAAGAAATATTCCTTTGGTGTACAACCAAAGAGACAGCTGTATCAACATTCCCTTCCTGAGAGAGTGTATTTTCCTCGTTTCCTAACTTAACAAGGGAGGAAATTGTTCCTCAACATTATACCTCCTAGCAATTAGACTGCCTAGATAACAGAACCTTGTCAGATGGAGCCTCAGGTAGTCTTATCAGGGTCACTTTTCTCTGGAATTGGCACAAATATGGGTCTCTCCCAATCAGTTGGCCAGGTAGCTGTCTCCAGAATTTCTTTGCATAAAGTGAGTGCTTCCAGTGCTTCATCAGCTTGTGGAAACACTTCAATTGAAATTCAGCCAATTCCCGAAGGCTTGTTTTCAGCCAATACCTTAAATGCAGACTGTACTTCTTCCTTAGTACCACCAGCTCTTGATTTATGCTACTTGAAGTGGTTTATCTTTTGGTACAGTGAGTCTGTGCATTCTTTCTGTCTTCTTTAATGTTTTCTGCGTTAATTAATATTTTGTCAATAGACTTTCAATATTGCAACTATAGGCTTGAATTTTTTCTTTTTTGTTGTTGTTTTGTTTTGTATCTTCAAATACGCTGAAAGTGTCATATGAAATATGCATTTTGGCTATGTAGCTCCAGGGTTTTGCACATTACATTTTAATACTTTCCTTTTCTTCTCTAGCTTCTCACTGAATATTTCTATTCAGCTTTTTTACTCCATCATTTCTTCCATTTGCTTAAGCTACTCTATGTTCAAGTGCAATATTCAAAGTCCATTCTGACATCTGCTTTGATCTTTTCTTTCCTGTATTTTCAATGAGGTTTTTATTTTCTTCCTACATGATGTTCTTGACATCACATGGCTTGTCAGGTCTGTGTTCAATATGTGTCTTCAGATCATTAATGTTCCAGGTGTCAGATATGTTCTTGAAATAGTCTCAAAATTCAGGTGGGATATGCTTAAGATTGTATTTTGGCACTTAATGACTTGTTTCAGTTAAGCTTTCAAAAAAAATACTTGGAAAGTTGAGTTAGTCATTTCAATCACCTGATTCAAGTTGTCCATGTGTCCTGTGATTACTAGCTTGAATTTATGTATTCTAAAGAACCCAAAAGTATGTTGGTATAATGGTTTAGTGCTGGGCTGTTAACCATATGATCAGAAATTCAAAACTGCCAGCTGCTCCATGGGAGAAAGAGAAGGCTTTCTACTCTACAAAGGATTTACAATGTTGGAAATCCAAAGGTGAAATTCTATTCTGCCCTGTAGCTTCACTATGAGTTAGAATTGCTTGATGACAGGTAAGGTAGTGGAGGCGTTTCATTTTAAGGAGCCCTTGTGATACAGTGGTTATAAGTATTCAGCTACTAATTGAAAAGTTGGTAGTTGGAACACAAGTCTCTCCAAGGGAGCAAACTGTGACACTGGAAACCTATTGCGCCGTTCTACTCTGCCCAACAGATCATGAGTCGGCATGGACTCAACAACGACAGGTTTTTGTTTACTTTTTAATATATATGTTTTAAAGTACCCATGTTTAAAGAAAATAACAGTTCAGATAGTCAAAGCTTGTTGATAATCAAATAAAATGTGTCTAAACCTCTTGATGGGCCAGTGAAATTTAAACAGTTCTACTAAAAATGTATTTCTGATAGGATTATGAAGATGTCTTATCTTTAAGCTAATGCTTAGTTCTCTTTGTCTTTGACAGGACCACGGGATGAAGCAAAGGAACAGAGAAGTGGCACTAAATGATAGACCTCAGCATTATTCAACCTCTTCAGGGGGATGCAGGCAGACAGGAATATATTCTATGGAGAAGGTGGGGGGAGGGAAGTCCCACAGAAGGGTGGCAAATCCTTTGCTCTAATTTCTCAAACTGCATTTTGTTCTACCTGCCGAAAAAGAAAATAAAAATGCTCTAATTTGATGGGGTGGGGCTGGGGAGGGGGACCCCTGTTACTGCATCTTTTAGGCTTAGTACTTGTAATTTTTGTTTTGTTTTTCTCTTACAACTTTGCCCCAGGGGCACGTTGGCCTGCTTGAGCACTCACGCGTCCTCTAACCCCTGTCTCTGCTCTCTCAGTTATTTCACAAAGCTGGTCAAACACTGGTTTGTTCATAGAAACATAATCAAGATACATTTTGATAAGCTGCAGGGTATATATCAGGAAGCACCAAACCCAACATCAGAATAATCCACAGTCAAAAGATGCAAAATATAAAACAGACAAATCCTCAGAAATAATACAGAAAAGGTCTGCAATTATGAATTAAAAATATTTCACCTAGGAATTCCTGAGGTAAAACATTTCCATGTAGTTGATAAGAAATATGAAGGCAGGATTTAGTCTAGAGCAAAATACAAAGACAAAACCATGTAGGTATGTATTGACAGCCTTCAGGGTCCCTTACTAGCCAGAGTGGTGTATCTGCTTTCCTTTGGCATTAACTTTCAACAGAGTTTATCTCTTTCCTGAGGTTTTTACCATGTGCTTCCTTGTGCAGACCACCTTGTGCCACCCCATTGTCAAGGAAGGAACTTTTCTATGTGCTTTAATTAAAAGTTGAGAGGGAATTACCGCATTCAGGATCCAAACAGGCCATAAATATTAATAATCCCATCATACACTTATATGTGTCTATAGGTATGTGATTTTCACAAAAGCATATATATATATATA